GTTGGTTTTAACCTTCATCTGAACTTCATGCGCTACCCTACGTCAAAGGAATTTATTCATTCAATTGTTGTGTTGCCTAAGAAACTATCTCAAAGATGTATGGCTTCGTCTAGCACGCCACTACGCCGTTGTTACATCAGATTAAAGGATTCCGTAGAAATTTTCTCCGCTGAGGCCATGGCCTTAGTTTGATCTGATGTAGGTCTGCGACCTTGCAAGGTAGACCTGGATTTTTTGTGTCAAGCGATCCGCTATTTTTTTTCTTAATTCACGCGGCCGCGCCGCGGTGTTTGGAAACCATTCTGGAATAACCTTCGGGGGTTCAAACTGACCCCGCCGACCTGAGCGTGCGTTAAAGATCTACTTTGGCACAATGGAACTTCCACTGTCCAAGCACCCTAATCGCTGCTGTGTAACCAAAACCACTGGGGCTAGCTAAACAATGTGCATTAGATGACACTGTTGTGACTTTGTATGTGCGCTATGTACAGGTTTGGAATTAAGGACAATGGCAAAATAATATTTCAGTTAGCAAAGCACTTAATGTGCTTTTTCTGGCTGGAATCCTGGCTGGCCGAAGGTGGCCGGGAAGTAGGTTATTATTTTTGAAAAAGTGGTATCTTTGGTGTGAACAGATGAGTGTGACCAAAGTGGCTTAAAAGGTCAGCTGATGAATAGCAACCGAAACCGCTTCACACAAATGCATGGAATTCGTTAAGCCTGATCACACCAGTGGGTTCCAGTTCGTTCTCTTAGACCGGATCCGGAGGAAGTCCCCTGATCTGGAGTAGGCCAGCTGCTGCAAACCAGAGTTTGAAGCATTAAACCGGGCCAAATTGTGTGGCATCACTTTATCTGGGGTATCAGTGCGCGCACGCTTCTGTTCTTGGTCGGCCGTGGTTACTCTACTCCAATTTTGTGTTAAGACTCGGAAAATTCCGCATGTTTGCAGGAGACTTTAAAAATCTCGATAGCAGTGGGACCAAAGCCAAGTTAGGCTGCTTTAGGCAAATTGTTATCACTTCGTGTGAAAAAAAATGCTCAAGTGAGGGCCGCCGGCTACACTGGGCGACTTTAATGCTTATTTTTAGTTGTGCCGACTTTTCTTTTTAGCACTTCCTCATCAGCAAGCATGTTTGTTCATTGGTTCTCTATCTATGCGGGTCCTCCCGCCCTTCCTCCTGAAGTGTCCTCTATCTGCATTGCAGCCTCTCCTCCCGTCCCTCTCCCTGCTCCATCCTCCATTTGCAGTGTAGCTCTTCCTCCCTCCTTCTTCCCGCACCGTCCCCCATCTGCTCGGCGACCCCTACTCTAGATCCTGCTATTACGCCGTCCTTCGTATCCAACATGGATCCTCCTCCAGCTCATCCTTATGGGCTTTCCTTCACCTGTATGGCGGCTCATCCTCCCGCGCCGGACGGTTCTCTGCCCTTGGGACTCCTCCTGCTCTTCCTCCTGAACCGTCCTCTTGCTACGATGCAGCTTTTCCTTCCGTCCCTCTCAATGCGCCAACCTCCATATGCTGGCCGGCAGCCCCTACTCCGGATCCTCCTCCGGTACTGTCCCCGATCTGAAACACGGATCTACCTCGCTGTCCTCTTTTTACGGGGCGGCCCCTCGCGCTGGTTTTCCTCCTGTCCCGTACTCCCTCCGTGAGGTAGACCGTTCCCGTTTCTTGTCCAGCAGCATCTTCCATCTGCAGGGTGGCTTCCCGTTTCGCTCTTACTCCCGCAACGTTGTCCACGTTCGCTTCTAAAAATAGCCGCATTTTCTTGGACCCTATCATCAGACCCTTTGAAACGTATCTTCCACTTGAACTGTGCATTTCTTAACATCTTTCTACGGAGAAGTCTGAAAAGACGCGTTTCAGTGGCAAGAAGCACAAACACACTTTAGATTGGGATCCGATCGCCTTTGTTTGTTGTATGGTCAACATGTTCATCTTCCCAGTTACTGGCGCCCAGACGCACCGTCCGGAGCCAGTGAATGAAATGAAATTGACCAATAAAACGGTGGTTGTAGGCGTTCACAGCGTGTACGTTTTCCGACGGCTGACTTGAATAGCTCGGCGGCGGCGATTGGGTGATCGATCGATGGCAGTTAGACGTCGCGGAAAAGCGGAATTGTAGCCCATTGGGCGAACTTGATGTTTGAAAGGCCAGATGTACGCAATGATTAAGAATGAGTGGTAATTACAGGCAATGAATCCGCGCATGCGGTGATGCAAATCTAGATGCGATGCTGGCAATGGTTTCGACGACAGCGTGTTGCATTTGGCGCCATTTTCACGAATCTCAACATGCCCAGCTCGCACGACGATTACCGGTGCAACAGTGCGTTGCACAGTCTTGTGTTGGCTACATGAAAAGCAGGCGGTACATTTGTTGACGATTTGAAGTTGGCTTCACGTTGCCACCGGCTCCTGCTGACGGGGAGGTGGAATAAAGCGTGAAAAATGGTCAAGAACGGAAAAATATACCTTTCTCGCCGTTGCGCACGCGGTACGTGACGCGTGCGGCGTCAAGATCGGCATCACGCGATTCTTTATTTCACTCTTTACCGAGGCGTGTTGATTGAGCGTCGCTCTGACCCATGGTTGCCGAGCTGCGGCCGCAGTTTCGAACGGCCGTACGCCGGTATTAACGGCGCTCGAGTTCTTGCGCCCTCATGCCAAACCAATCGGAAAAAACCATTTCTAACACGATCAGGCACCGCCCGTTGGTCACACCGGCACGAAACTCGTCATGGCTCGTCGTCACGTGCGCACGTGCTCTGTGTCGAATTTAAACCTTTGTACGTCACATCGTTTGACCTGCACACGGGGGTAAGGAAAAAGATGACACAGATGCACTTTACTCAAGTAGTTAGATTCCAAGAGGCCTGGGCGTATTAAAAGTATTGGTTCATTCGGCATCAGCTCAGAGACAACACGTGCATAACAACACGCGAGGAATAAACACGCGCCGGCCAATCACTTTTCCTGAACATTTTTTTTTTTAACTTCCGCATCGATGAACGTGGAAGGTTGCTACACTAATGACCTGTCCATAACACTTTCATGCACCTATAGATGACTGAGCGTGCTCGCTGCCTCGCTGCCTTGATGGCGCCTTGAAGGTCAGGTAAAACCGTGAGCGTATCGTGAGAGATTCATACTGAGCAAAACATGTTACTGTGGATATGTAACGCATTATGACGAGCCCAGCTTCACCGTGTATCTCACAAACGACTGTATGCACGCTTATGCGAGTGGGCAGTGAGACACCCAGAGGCGCTGTCAGGCTCAGTCGCCGTTTGCCATCGTCACAATAAGACATTCGGGTTCGCCAACCAGTGAGACGCAACTAAGCGCTGCTCAAGGACTGCCTCGCGCGTGTCCTATCGCGTCATCTCCTCTGACACGGGAGGAACCCCAGCCACCAAGGTCGAATGACGTCACGTGCTTCCCGGCCGGACGCTTCGCTTCAGATGTGGAGCGCTTCGTGACACTCGGTTACGCCACGAATGTTTTCAGCCAACGCGACGAGTTTTTACCCTCAGCCTGGCGTAGACGAGCCAGCGAAATGCCGATCTCCTCAAGGCAAAGAAGTTCGCTACGAAAGAACAACGCGACTGAATCAGCGGCCTTCTTTTGCTGGCTTCCTGACGTTGAAACGAGTCATCAGTAAGATTGGGGTACGGTAGGTATAAGGATAATGGAAGACCCTACCACTCAAGTTGAGGGGGAAACAGTAATAGCCACTTTGTTTTGTTATTTCCAGTCGATGTCGATAGGCTAATGCTAACTTACCAGAAAGTAGGGGTGGGGGGCGGGGGAGGGAGCGGGGCGGGGCACAGCCTCCTAGCCTCATAATGCCCGCACCCCTGGATAGGTGTGGCAATGTGAGGGGCAATCGATGCTTGCAATCGACGCTGCAATCGGGCCTGTGAGGCAATCGATGGGCGACGTGCATCCAACCGCATCTAATGTCATGCCTCGGAGTTAAAGGTTCAGCAGCCCACCAATGATCTGGGACGTTGGTCGCTCCCAGCAGTGTGGAGCTCTTATATAAAACCAGCCACACCTGCTTGTGTTAAGCTTTTGTCGCTGCCCGCGGCCGGGGAAATGTAGGATTTTCCAGGCATTTACGTCATCCAGGCTCTGACAAACTGGCCTGCTTTCATCTTACACCAGTCGTTCGCAGATCTTCGAAATCTGCGAAAAAAAACAGCTGCAGTGGGCATGCAGGTGGCGTTCTTATCTCCCCTGTGCTGCGCTCTGGTCCTGATCGGAGTCTTACTGGCGGGCATGAACATGGACCGCTTTTATAACGGTCTAAGGTTGGCAGAGGAGTGGCTGTGGTGTTTTTTCTCAACCAGACATGCCACATCTCGAAGATTGCGTGCCGAAAAACTGCTCGCCTGCAGGGGCGCATGATCAAGCAAAGGGCTCGTTCATGGTGTCATACAGTATGCACGTTCATTAGAGTGACACGAAACAAAGATGAAGCATGGCATGTCTTCTTATTCTTCCGTAGCAAAAAACCAGACACATCACCAGTGTGCGGACGGATGCCGAGCTTATTGCCCTTCGCCCACCATACTGATCAATCAGCGTGAGTGGGAGGGCCGATCACAGCTGCAGCGTGCCTGTCCGTGTCCCCCACCTCCGCTGAGAACCGGCACAGTGGCATCGGGCTGCTAAAGGTCACAACAGCATCGGGATTCCCAGCATTGTAAGCCCAGCACAAGGGCGTTCAGTCGTCAGGCTGCGTGACCGGTGCGACTCGCCGGATGACCCAGGCGTGGTGAAACAGCGTTTGAGGCGCCGCGATCCGCCACGTTCGTTGCATTGAACATGAGGTATGTGTCTGCGTCCCAGCCCCTAGCTGTGAGAAACCTTTCACTGTTTGGACCTGCGAAAAGCTAACCACAGCTCCATCAGAAGCCAGGGATCTCAAATTTTATCGGTACAGCCCGCTCACAGTTCTCACCGATGGCCGCCGGCACGCGGCTCTCACCTGTGAGAAGTTGAACGGCGCCTTCGTCGTGGTGACGTCACTGTCATTCTTCTCCGAAACGTTCTTCCCGGACACCTCCACCACACACTTGCCCAGCGTCAGGGGCTCTGCCGTCAGCTGGGTCAGCGCCTTGTACGGCATGACCACCTCACTGGACGCCCTGACTGCGTACAGCCTGACCACGAGCTTGCCGAGGCTGACGCTGACGCCTTTCGGTGTCGGTCCAAGCCAGAGGTGCACGGCGTCTCGCGGCCGGCCCGCTGGCGCCGGGCTGGCGTCGTGGCCGGCTCAGGTGCGCCAGCGGTGCCAGCACAAGGTCGTCCAAGCAGAACGACTCGTAGGTGAGGTGGCTGTCAGCGCCCAGCACCTGCGACTCGGCGTTGGTGATGTAGACGCGCAGGATCTGACACAGCACCTGGAGCGAGGCGGCGTTTGTGATGTAGACGCGCAGGATCCGACACAGCACCTGGAGCGAGGCGGCGTTTGTGATGTAGACGCGCAGGATCTGACACAGCACCTGGGGCGAGGCGGCGTTCGTGATGTAGACGCGCAGGATCTGACACAGCACCTGGAGCGAGGCGGCGTTTGTGATGTAGACGCGTAGGGTCTGACACAGCACCTGGAGCGAGGCGGCGTTTGTGATGTAGACGTGCAGGATCTGACACAGCACCTGGAGCGAGGCGGCGTTGGTGATGTAGACGCGTAGGATCTGACACAGCACCTGGAGCGAGGCGGCGTTGGTGATGTAGACGTGCAGGATCTGACACAGCACCTGGAGCGAGGCGGCGTTGGTGATGTAGACGCGTAGGATCTGACACAGCACCTGGAGCGAGTCGGGAGTAGCCATGACATCCCAAGGGTGACGCTTCGCCCGAGATTATCGCCTAACAACATGGAAGGGTCCGACAGCAGTTATTACTTTAGGGTCATCTTTCAATTAATCAATAATGCACAATTAGGAAACTGAAAGAACTGGGCGTCCTTTTCCCCGAAGTGTGTGCAAATGTTACCAATCTGCAACATCCCACGTTAGACGCTCTGTATGAGATGACTTATTGAGAAACAAAACCGCTGCAACTGCGTGCAAGCAGGGCTTTCCGCCCATCCTGGAACTCAAAAGAGGTTCACGGCGGCACATGAGCTGTCATGAGCTCTCACTGACCGCAGCAGAGCAGGCCAAGAGCTGAGCATGTTCCGTTTCCCACCTCTCTGTCGTGAGGCAGTCGGCCGTCGCGCAGCTCGCGGCGGTACTCGTCCGGGAAGCCGACCACCACATCCGTCAGGCGACCGCTGCGCCCGGTGCACGCCAGCACGGTCACCATCAGGTACCGCCAGGGGTACCGCGGCGCCTCGAGGTACCTCCGCACAGCAGGGTGCGCGCCCTGCAGCTCATTCACCACGGCAGTCACGTGCGCGCAGTCCGGCCCCAGCTGCCCGTGGAGGTCGGCGCCCATCGTGACGCGGTAGGGGCAGAGGTCACGGTCACCAGAGGCCGGGTCGCAGGCGTCGGAGGTGGGCGTGGCGCGCATGCAGGGAAGCGTCGGCTGCGAGTCCTGCACGCAGTGGCAGGCCGAGTCGAGGTGGCCGCGGCAGCGGACTTTGCAGTCGGTGCGGTGCTTACGGCACGCAGTCTGGTCGAGAAGCAGTGAGTCGGCCTTCGTGAGGGTCACGTGGCTGAGGTCGGGCTCGCCCATCCACTGCACCTGTTGGGGAGGGGTGAGGGCTTGGACCGGCGGTGTTTGTTGGCAATCATCTAACGCGGCTCAGAGCGCGATCGTTTTTTAGTTGTTTTGCTGGCCTGTTGGATGTAGCTTGAGTTGGTAAAGATGCCCGGCTGTTCAGAGCTTGAGTTGCACGGCGCAGGTATAATATCCAGGATATTTTTTATTTACCAGTGTGAATGAAATTGAATTAAAGCAACGTTTAAAACAGTCTAAAGCCTTTGGTTTGGACCAGGATGCACTCAGCACTACACGCACCACCACTGCGCTGACGCATTCGCGGCTTTAGCCAATTCTACCTTGCGTGCACAGCTTTGAGCGTCCAATGTGCCTGGGGGTCTCAAATCTCCCCCCCCCCCCCTCCAAAAAAAATTGAGCCCAGGACGCTGGGTTAGTCACCAGCAGGCGTAAGTGATCTTACAAAGTGGGTGGACATATGCATTTTACAAGATGAGGGAGGGCCATCCATAACCACGTGGGCCGATACCCAGCTGTTTAGCAAAGAGAGTGATCCACGGCCCAATCGCCCTCCGTGTTCCCATATCTATGACGTCACCGTCCGATCAAGGTGTTTTCAGCACCCGTTCGCGGTCGGTTGTCAGCGCTGTCGTCACCTGCAGATCGGCCTGGTATCGCGGGTCGGCAGCAGTCACCAGCAGGCGATAGCCGAGCCTACTGGGGTGGAACAGCGTGTCGACCAATAGCCGGCCGCCGACAGCAAGATTTGGCCAATCATCGTCTGCGGACGGCGTGGCGCGATCGGCGCCAGACTCCGAGCGCCAATCAGCGCTGCTGGCGTCATCCGAAGGCACTCGCAGCAGCGGGTCGAGGAACGTGTGACGCGGCGCGCGCGCTGCCTGGGGCAGCGTGGCCCGTGACCCAGCCGCGTGCTCGTGCTGTGCAGCAGCATGTGCAGAGCGGTGGTGGCGTCAGCGCGAGAACTGGGTAACATCCTGCAGAGTCACGACCCGGGTCAAGAGAACGCCGCAAGCTGGTGAATGAGGAAGACGGAGGGCAGGTGTTCAAGCTCATTCTTGTCATGCGACACGGCAGATGTAAGGCCAACTTTAACATTAATAGGGACTGAGGCCGGGCGCTGCATGACCGTATGCGGTAGATGCGTCGAAAAGCTTATTCATCATCAGGAGATAGGCCCTTTTCCCCTCGGCCGGTGTCCCCTCCGACAGAGTCAGGGATAGGGGAAAACATTAGAATGAAGGAATATAGATATGTCGTCACATCATCGGAGGTAAAGATACTGGTCCGGCGTAGAGCAGGAACGGGATGGGAATCATTTGTTCAAGCAAAAACACCACTCGCATATGGAAAACACTCCCCAAAGCACTTCGCACACAGGTATCACGCAAAAAGATCAAGGAATCTGTGGTAGACCTGATTGGTATTTACAAGCCCAGTTTATACTTCCCATGTTGTTCAAGATTGTAGACTGTTCCTGATTACAGATCTAAAACAACTAAACAGTTCATTTTTTGCGTGCACTTCTTTGACACTTTAGACGCGACCTCTTTCAGCATATCACACAAATATTGGATCACTGGTTCATTCTATTTTCGAACACCGACACTATACACGCATTAAGGTATGGTACAAACGTCAGCAGAGGGGAAGGTCGGATGTTTGCGTCGTGCTCCCAGGGCTATAACACTAACGCGCTGTAACTCTAGCGAAGGGAGGGTTTCACATTTGTATGGGATTTTGAACTGAAATGGTCATCTTGAATTTTATTCGGTGTAGCTCACAGCCCTGTCCTTAAAACATAAGCCTCTCTAATTTCTGATCTACACGACTGCAGAGATGCGCAGACTATCTCGGGGAGACTATTTCAAGGTCACCCTGACATCCACGACGCTCTAATGAGGTCATTTAAATCCTGTCATTCCGTCTATTAGCCATACGTTGATCAAGGCCAGCAAAAAGAAAACTGTCGAGTCGTTCATATCTGGCGTTTGTGAGCACGATTTTCAGAAAAAACGGCCGTCATCTCGCTCTTAATCAATACTGTGCAGGGTACGGTGACGTAATCAAACAGTGACGTATTGATGAGGATAGTTACTAAACAGAGAAATTATGTTGTCTAGAGCAGTTTTTCCACTTAAAAGTACACCAATAATCATACATGAACTTATTTCATCACATGTGATGTCAGCTTTAATGTCTTCAAATGTGAAAAATTCCCTTCAATTAAGCTCCATCTTCGGCGACTTTATTTTGTTTTGTTTCTTCGATGGCAATGGTGCCCAGATTCAAGTCTTGCGACTTATGCAGCAAACTTGTTGTTTATATTGATGTTAGCGTGCTGCAACCGTCTTTTAAAATACAACAAAACAAACTAACAAACAATAGGTAACACCGTTTTGGGCATCCGTCGTTCAATATATCATGCGCACACTGAAGCATAGAAGGCATTGCAAAAGACCTTTCATTACAATGGTTGCGTCCGCGCAAAGACGTCACAAATGCAGCAGAAATCCTTAATGCCAGGGAATGCGAGGCAGTTGAGGCGCACCACCACTCAATGGTTTATCTAGCAACCGCAAGACCCACGTCACGATTTCAACAGCTCTCACCGTGAGCGTGATGGTTACTTCCCCGCCCACGGCTCGCGCCTTGCACGCGCCGGCCCCGGCCTTCAGCTTAATGCACAGCTTCCTCTCGGCGTTCTTCGCCGTCAGGTCACACTTGGGGTCGTCGGTCTTCACCTTGAGGATGCCGTAGTCAGCCGCCGTCTTGTAGCAGGTGGTGTTCGGGGCCAGCGTGTTCTGGACGAACTTGCTCCAGTTTTCCTTGAGTTTGTTGATGTCGGCCACGTTTTTGTCGCCAGCGATTGCGGTAATGAGCAGAAGATGCAGGAGCTTGTACTGCATTACGCTCGTTTGGTAGTGGGATATTGACGAATACAAGCGTGATGAGAACACAATGGATGGTCTTTATATCGTTGCTTGTTTGTTAGCCCAAGGACTCAACAATAAAAACGTGAGTAGCCATGCAGTATAAGGAGGATACTGCGGGGGGGGGGGGGGGGGGGGGGGGGGAGAATGACGGACTTTGGACGCAGGCTTTCCATGTGCTGATGGCTTACGCTGCTAGAAGTGGAAAAACGACCACATTAAACGGCTGCAAATGAAATAAATGGAAGCTTTAGTTCCCCGCATCGACTTGGGCCACCCTTTTGGCTTTCAATAACGCTATGAATGTTTATGATGTATTTCATAACCTACGTCAGCTTTACATTTCTATCTCGTGCATTGCAGTTCGATGAACCTTTCCATGGCGAGGCTTTGCAAGAAACGCAAAAAGAAGTCCGTCATACTGGAGGATTTTCCCAGAGGTCGCAATCGTAAAAAGCCCGCCATCCTACTCAGAACTAATGAAGTTAAAAAAGCTAGCAATGACTGATAATCCATCCGAGATGTGCCAACAGAAA